TTTCTGTATTGGATGTGTTGAGAAGGTATTAATATTTAGTAAGAGCTAATTAATACATGATCGTTTGAAGTTAAATTAAATTCGACTTTAAATGGTTTTTTTTGAACTGCAGTTATTATGCATGCTTGCCGTCTGGGTCGAAGATCCAAAATCAGAAGCAAACAAGTTTCATTTGGGTAGAATACCCGATTACCTTTGGATTGCCGAGGACGGACTAAAATTCCAGGTTAGTTAGATCATTATATTATGTGCACTTCTTATTACATCTTAATTCCTTGTTCAAAACAGAAGAGAACCACAAAATATAAATTAATAGGCAAGAATTTACGTAGTATGCATGCCACCAAAATCCAATAGTTTTGCATTATGCCATCTATTCTTTCCTTATCTCCCAGAATAATCTCTGAAAAAACCAAAACCGGAGATGCTCGGTCGTCTATTCTTTCATTATTTTTGTTCATTTCTGATGAATTGAGTCGCCCCGTTGGGTGGCATACTGTATAAAAGTAAAAAAAAAAAGAAAAAAAAAAAAGAAAAAAAAAAGAAAGTGACATAAAAAAATTAGAGTGACAGTCTCCTATGTGAATATAAATTCCTAAATTAATGTACTGCAGAGTTTTGGCTCTCAAATGTGGGATGTGGGATTTATAATTCAAGCATATTTATCGAGTAATCTAATCGAAGAGTTTTTACCGACGCTTCGAAGAGCACATGACTTTGTGAAGGCATCCCAGGTTTGATCTTATGTTGTTGTTCTAGATCAATTTTACAGATGGTGTCTACAATGTGATGTAACTAAGTAATAATTGCATTTAATAAAAGGTTTGTCAAAATCCCTCTGGAGACTTCGCCAAGATGGGCAGGCACATATCTAAGGGCGCATGGACATTCTCGACGCAAGATCACGGCTGGCAAGTTTCCGATTGTACCGGAGAAGGACTAAAGGTAAATGCGCTATTCCATCAAGATGGTTTCTTTTCCAAGCTTGCTTTCTCCAAAATCTTGGGTTTTTCATTTTTAACCCCCTCTTTTTTTTGTGTCTGCATATTTCTTCACTCACAGGTTTCGCTCTTGTTCTCGCTTATGCCAACAGAGCTAGTAGGAGAAAAGATTGAAACGCAACGTTTCTATGATGCAGTGAACGTCATTCTTTCCTTACGGGTAAAATCCATCAAACTAAGGTGGCGTTTGGCAGATAGATATAAAATTATGATTCAGAATCCTGATTTAGAACCAGTATTTGTTTACAGTGATTCTGAATTAGTGTTTGGTTTGGAGGATTCTGAATCATAATTCGGAATCTAATGTGATGTTTTAAACCAGAATCACTCATGATTCTAAAACCATCCCCTCTTGATTCAAGGTGATTCAAACACCTGATTCGGAATCATGATTTGAACCCAAAATCATGAATTATGGTTCTGATTCTAGAATCATGATTAAAATCATTCTAGTTTGAATCCTCGTACCAAACGAACCTTAAGTATACTTGTATAAAAACACTTTGCACAAGCTAAAAAGCAAAATAACTAAAAAGAGACTGACTTTCTCTTATCACATTATAGAGCAAAAATGGTGGCTTCCCTGCTTGGGAGAGTCAAAGAACATTCAGTTGGGTTGAGGTAATACTGGTTTGAAGTCATATACACATAAGTATCTCCAAAATAGTAAAAGAATTTCGTATATTAAGAAGCCATTTTTGTTATTAACTACTCGCAGAAATTCAACCCCACAGAGTTCTTTGAGGCGACCTTTATTGAGCGAGAGTAAGATTTCTATTTTCTTCCAAGAAAATAATGTTAGTATTTTAAACTGTGTTTTGCATTGCTTAAATTATGAAATGGAATTATTTTAGGTACGTAGAGTGCACTTCTTCAGCAATTCAAGGACTCAAACTGTTTAGGAGATTGTACCCGGCGCATCGAGGAAAAGAAATAGACAATTGCATATTAAAAGGGATACAATATCTTGAAGACCAACAAAATCCTGATGGTTCATGGTATTAATGGTTTCCTTTCCTTACGAATTAATTTCCAATTTAGATCATATAGTTTTTAGGATTAATCTCATTAGTACCCTCTGTTAAGAACTACTTCAAAAACAGACAGAAAAAAAAAAGTGATGAGATCATATGGTCTATCTGTTAGAATTTTCATTAAAAATAAGAAGAATTATTCAGTACACTGAGTATACCACGTCATATTACTTATGTAGTACACTCGTCTAATTAGATTGTATCATTTAGATATTTTGTCTATATCAGTTTTTCACTTTTTATTTTTCTCTTTCCTAATAAGTATTTGCATTGAATACCTATTAAAAAAGAGAAAAATAAAAGTGAAAAGCTGATATATAGACAAAATGTCTAAATGATACAATCTTATTGGACGGTTGTACCACATAAGCAATATGACGTGGTACACCCGGTGTACTGAATAATTCTTCTAAAAATAAATGAAAAAAGACTAAAGGGGTTAAGTATGCCTAAACCAAAATTAAAAGGACAAAACTGAGAGTTTTTAGATTAAGGGGTAAACTAAAAATGACCGACAAGGGCACTAGTGAGATTAATCTGTTCTCTTTTAAGTACAATTGGTCGATAGTCTGAGAAAATGAACATATAATCGCAGGTATGGCTCCTGGGGTATATGCTTCACTTATGGTACATGGTTTGCCGTGGAAGGGCTTGTAACTTGTGGGAAAAGCTACAATAATAGTCCGACCTTACGTAAAGCATGCAAATTTTTATTATCAAAGCAGTTACCAAATGGTGGATGGGGAGAAAGTTACCTTTCTAGCCAAGATAAGGTAACATATCATTTCAATAAAGATATGACAAAAATAATAATAATAATAATAATAATATACCTTTAATCATTTCTTTTTGACAATGACATATAATTTGACTTAAATCGAAGCAGGTTTACACTAATTTGGAAGGCGATCGTGCAAATTTAGTCCAGACTGCTTGGGCATTGTTGGCTCTCATTACTGCTGGGCAGGTCAGTATTATCTACTTTTTTTTTTTTTTTTTACTGATGGTCAACTATAAAAATTGTAACATATATATTCATGAGAACTATACCTTTTATATTAATTAACTATAAAAAGAAAAAAAAAACTATGGATCAAATATTTTCAAAACAACAAAATGTTGTGGTTGTAGGCAGAGCTTAGTAGTGATTTCACACCTAAATCTAGCATAGGTGAAGAGTTTGAATCCTCCATCTGAAATTATAAAAAATAAAAAAAATAAAAAATAAAAAATAAAAACAATACAATATAATGCCCGTACAAATATAAAAAGTAATTAAGGTCAACGTGTAAGTAAAATGTCTATTGTATCCACGTGCTTAAAAGTTTTATTGTACCCGTCGATGTAAGCTTATAGGAGGTCAATAAAATTTAGGAATTTGTGAAGCATTTTAGAAATCCAAGCATCTACTGAAGCTAATAAGGACGTTTGGTTTATGTATTCAGAAGTATTCTCGTTTTACGTATATTTTTTGTGAAAGAAAACACTGTAGAGAACCATGATTCAAAATCAAGAACGAATATAGGAAACAAACGTCAGTTAAACTGCTTAACATCTTTTTTCTTTTTTACTCTCAAAATGTGATTATTTATTATTTATTTCCTCTTGTTATATTTTGTTCAATTCAGGCCGAGATAGATCCAACACCCATACATCGTGGAATAAGAGTATTGATCAACATGCAAATGGAAGATGGCGACTTCCCTCAACAGGTACTAATTGAATTGAGATGTGACATTTTTTTAGAGCTTTTAACTATAGTAAAAAAGTTATATGTGACACTTTCTGAGAGCTTTTAACTGTAGAAACTTAGAACTAAAAATTTAAATAGGTAAAATAAACGAGGCTATATAAAGCAATCACAACAACATTAGCAAAAACATACATGAATAAACAGACATAAGAGTATCAAAGCAAGCAAATGATTCCAAATGAGGTTACGTGTGTTTTGATATAATTTATTTTTTAAATAAAAAAACACATATAATTATTATATCCATATATAAATAGTGTCTACTTATTTTTATTATTATTTAATTTTTAAACCCTACTAAAAGAAATTTTTGGCTCCATCACTAAGCATATGCCAAATATGGGTACATCAGAACACATAGTAGAGAAACCCTAATCTTGAGTGAAATAAATATCACGGCTTTGATGGTTTTCAAATAATCATCACTTTACGTACAAAAATTTACCCAAGACTTAAGTAATTAGTTATAGTGCTTGTTCATTAAGAAGTATTAGTATGTGAAAGTGAC